CTCGTGAAAATATTAACAGCGGAATCGCATATATACCGAGTGTTATCCTGTTTTATTTTTACTCCAAGTTCCAGAGATCGTAAAGCCGTATTTAGTACGGGTTTTAATTTGCGGCGCTTTGCGGTCTCGCGACCTTATCGTCGTTCGCGCTTTATCTCGCTACCGTTCGCATCGGCGGATGATGATTCACGCGTACGTCTAGACATCGTTATTTCCCGGAAAAGGTAATAGAGACACGTGCATCACGCGGTCGCGAAGGCTGCGCTATCGCGAAGCGAGACGTTACGTCACCGGACGATCGCAGGCGGTCGCTTTGTGTTACATCACATTACGCGTATATTTAGATATAGATATATATTCTATAGTTCCACCCGCAAGTTACAAATCCCCGTGACACATATGAATGCCGTTCGCGAGCTTCCACCCGTTCCCAAAATGTCAATAGCCTGTAACGAATTTGCCGGGAAGTAGGTATTGTACGAGAGCCACTTATAGCATCGCCTGTGTGCGAATAGCGTTTATTTTATACACCAGGTGTTGTTCGAGCACATCGACCTCATTTTTACTTGCAGATTAAAGAGTCTGGCTTTCCGCTCCCGTAGAAATTTGATAAACAAAGAGTCACCGCTGTGTTGGTGTGAGCTCTTCTAACTCTTTTTCATTGAATCTAATAGAATTTATTCGAAATATCTCACAGGATAATTTAGACATATCTTTATTATTGCATTAGAATTCTCTCTTTTCAAGATGAGATATCATATTTTCAAGGAAAGGTTACACAATGTTTTTGATATACAGGGAGAATTTTCTCTTAAGATTTACCCTGAAAATTATGATAAGATATAAAATATGTTCGATAATTGGTACATATTAATATTTTTTATTGTGGTAAATATTAATTAAAGAAACTCTATGCAGGTGTGACTTGAATTAGAGTGATGAATCTAGTTTCATTTGTCATGAAACGCGTGGTTACTCCATATCATCGTTTTCGAGGAACGCGTCCGGAAATTTCGAAATTCTCTCGCGATTTCGCGGTCCGTATGTACCGGAATTTCGAGGCGTATCTCTGCGTGTTTGTCTACTTCTCTCTCTCTCTCTGTGTCTCGTCGATTGTTTTCCTGTCGCTCTCGTTTTTACGCGACTTGTTCTCGTTTTTCCACGCGGGAACGCGTCGCTACATCCGATCGTGCCGCGCCGATTTTGGCAGCGGCGCCAATGCGCCGTACTTGGACGTCGCCCAAACGTAATAAATTGTAAATCAGGTCATTGCTTTCCCGCGCGCACGAGAGTTTAACGTTACCCGTTGGGGAAGCCTCCGGGTGTCGTTTGATTTGCGGGATTTACACAGCGCCCGCCATAGAATTTTGTCGCGTCGTCCTCTCTTTCTTCTTCACCCTGGTCGCGATGGTTCAGGGTGCATCATCTGTCGACGACGCGACAGTAGATAAACACCACCGTCCGATATCGTCGTATACGGTTGCTGGCATTTTTCATGACGAAGAACGCGAGGCGCAGCGTGGAAAACGCCGACGTTCATTCTGTTTTTCTAATTTCTACCTTATCATTGTTGACCTTTTTTCTCGTTTACTCTCGTATAGACGATGCTATTTCGAGATAATGACCAGACACAAGGTCGAGATATGTAATATCGTAAACGCGAGTATACATCGGAATGTTTTGATTATGGATATGATGTCTAGAGAGAGAGAGCATCCGTAGGAAAGACGAAGAAATCGATTCCGAGTATTATCTTATCGCAACCTGTCCGCGAGAGTTTTCTTGCGAATACGAAAGAGTGGGCACGCGAGATACGAGAAAAACAATGGCAAGTCTGCGGATAGGAGTAACCGGAGACCACCCGCTGTAGAACGTCAGACAAAACATTTACTCCTACCCCGACTTTACCTCCTTTGCCCTTCTACGGTCTGCAGACTGTCTACAGTCGTCTTAAAAGGTCGGTCGGGAGGTCAAAAAATAGCCGGCGCTATAATTAATTAAATTACCGTGTAAAAGCGGCAACGATTAATTTACTCGCGTATCGACCTACTCCCTCTTTTATATAATTCAATTAAATTAATAGCGAAAAATAAATTCTCGCACGTTCTATCTGGGTCGGGATATTTAAATGATACGAATTTGCATATCAAAATTCCGAGAGGGAAAATCGCGGGCGGAGTGAATTTTTGACATTGCGCTCGCGCGTTCAATTCAAAGTCCCGTCGAGTCATTCTCGGTGCATCTTTATGCACCCGGAGGAGGCTGCGCTTCCAGGGTGCCCAGCGGATTCGATGAAAAAAATTCCCCGACTTTTTTCAGATTTTCCAAGACCAGAAATTCATTTTTTCCCTGGCTTTTTAATATTATTTTTTCCAAATAATAATTTGCATATATCTATATGATAAATCAATTAAATGTTGAATCATGAAATTCTTGAGATATTTTTGTCAGCAATGAAAAGTTTCGCAAGTTAAAAAAACAAAAATTTAAATCAATTATACAATCTGCATTATGTATACGATAATCGAAACAAACATGTCACTATAAACTATTTCAATAATCACCTTTTTCATTTATATTATATCAAATTTTTTAGTTTTATCTCTATCAAACACATTGAAAATATAAATGAACGAACACGCTGCAGATGAATTAATTTTAACACAGAAAAATTAGCGTGCTAGTAGTCAAGGAAAAGTTTATATTTATCGAATAAAAAATTTCAAATTATTCAGACAAATGTAGAATAATGTAAAAAAAATCCAGATAAATAGTAAAATTTCCCGACAATTCCAGATTTATAAAATCTTCTGACAATGCCGCGCTTTTCCATATTTCCCTGATCGCTAGACACCCTGTGAATTTTTGACATTGCGCTCGCGTTCAATCCAAAGTCCCGTCGGTGCATCTTTATGCACCCGGAGGAGGCTGATGCGCTTCGCTCGCGTAATCCGGCGCGAATCCGGAACGAAGAGGATCAACCGAGAAGAAGAGAGGAATATCTATCTCTCCGCCAAAGAGCAGAGAGCAGAGCTCGACATCGTCGTCGTCGGCATCGGTGTCGACGTGGGCGAGAGGTGGAAAAGACAGAGAGAGAGAGAGACTCTAGTATAGTACGTCGTAATCTAATTTGCGATGCAATCTAGAATAACAATGGTTCGCGTCGCGGCGGAAAGGGGCAGGCGTGACGACGGTACGAAACGTGCATCGCAACGTCTAGCGGCGAGAAGGAAAGGCGGAACTTCCCGCCGACTCTCCTCGACGTAATCACGGGACCGGTAACTTCCAAATTAAGTTCCCGCCGCGCCGATGCCGATGGAAACCGAAGGAAAGCGCGCTCGCGGTGGACCGACCTCGTCGTCCTCTCGAGGCTTTCGCCTCGGGAAGGGGCTTCCCGATCGATGCCGAGGATTCGCCGTCTCTCCCGCCATCGGGAGAGACGATAAGTGGAGTGTACTGAGATGCATTATGCTGCTTAGGTATAGATTAAGATTCGGGTCTCGGCGAAATTTGTCTCGAGCGAGTCCGAATTTATTTATGGGGATGAGAAATTATCGCGTTTTGGAAACTTGATCGACAGATATTTTCTAATGCATTTGTCTCGAATTAAATGTTTCCCGAGAGAGAGAGAGAGCAATTTTTTAAATATTTTTTTATCATAGATTGTACTTAAAAATCAGAAAACAAGAAATTAAGAAACCTGAAAAGAAATTTCAACCTAAATCTTGACGATAATAAAATATTAAAATTATTTCATCCAGTTTTTTAATTAATAGATCTGAAATAAAAATTACTGTGTAAATAAATGACTTATCAATAAAATTGACTGTATTATATTACGTGTAGGGTCTACTTTGCGCAAGTAAATACGAATGTTATTGTTTAGAACAAGATCTCTTCATCTGAAAACTTATAGTGAAACTGATGCACGTACCTACTATCTATCACGGTTGTAGATGAAGTTGTGTGAATCATTCTCGTGTCCTAGATTCGTCTTCGTTGTCGCGTGTTATCGCGCACGTTTGGAATAATTGAATCGGGACACCGAGATGAAAGAAGAAAAATAAATGGAGAATAATGGAAAGTTTGCTCTTCCGGTTAAGTAAAAAGAAAAGAGAGGGAAAAGTAGATAGACACAGCTGCGCGACCGCTGCTAGATAAGCTATATCAGTAGCTTTTTCCTAGACAAAGCCTTCGACGTTCCAGGAATCGCGTAATAATCTTGTCGAAGGTCGGCAACGTCACCGATAACCACCTCCGTTGGATAAGAAATCGCGCTTCCTTTCGAACTATGCGTTATCAACTATATGTGTCTGCAACGATAACGTCGCGTCTATTTTGCCTGGCTGGCAATAAAGAAGCGCGATTTGCCTTTTGGACTCGCGATATGATTCAAGAATGTGTAACGAGACTGATCGATTGTTCGGCGAAATACGCGACAGAAAGGATATATAAGAAGGAGAGCTCTGTTTCGTTGGAATGTGATACGTCGACTCGTTCTTCGAGTCGTTATTTGTATAAAGAAGCTATTCGACGAACTCGGTCAAGTCTGCTAAAATTAGTACGACGTATACAGTTTCAACGAATATACGCGGAAGTTTGCTCACGAAGTTTTATTTCGAACACACAGCTTCGAGATAAATGCGATAATCTGTATATAAATCAATGACGCGATTTACTGCAAATTCCTCTGTTATCGTTATAAATTCTTCTCTCCTCTATCAATGCCCGCTAATATTAGATATTTTATTTTCCGGAGGCAGAGACGGGGGATATAAAAAAAAATATATATATATACGTAGAGGTAAACATTCTCTCGCATACACAAATACCTGTTGGCTGCGCGTTATTTTTTATCCCTATGCCACGTCATATTTATTGATATACGTCATATGGCAGTATTGGAATCGAATTTCGTCGCGCTTTACGGCTTTTTTAGCGGCGATATAATTTGTCAACAATTTTTCATGCTACACAATAATGTTGAAGTGATCACTCACCGGTGTTTCAGGATGACGGCAATGATCCTGTAGCAGAAGACAGCGCTGTAACGGCGGCGGCGGTGGCTCCTCGCGACGATGTCGGTGACGATGATGGTGATGCCGATGATGGTGATGGAGAATCGAGGCGGAAGAGGAGGAAGCGGAGCCGGGTGGGACCGGCTCGTGCACCAGCAATCGACGATGATGAAGGTGACGCGATATCGTCGCCAGGACACCCACCAGTGCTCCGACTATCAGCACGAGCGCCGCCGAGACGATGTAGCCGCTCGCACTCACTGCAAACAAACATTAGACATTGCGATTAGTCTACGAATTTCCATCGAAAAACTCGTCTGTCAGTCTTTGTCATTTTCACACTTATATCCCGTATCACCATTTCTCAATGACAAGTTATCGTTCGTGTTGATCATTATTTGATATATATGTGTAAAGGAATCTCTCTCTTTCTTTCTTTTAGCCGATATATTTCAAAGATATTTATTGATTGATACATTTTTTAAGTATTGCATGTGAGAATTTTTAAATACATGTCGAGAAATTATTAATAAAATATTTGACGTTCTGTTAAAGGCATATAAATAAATATTTCTTTTCAGCAAACATATTTATGTAATATAATAATTCTCTTAATATTACATTATTACGTAATTTTTTAATATTACATTATAATATTATGTTTGTAGATGATATGTTAATGATGCGAATAAAAAGGATGAATATTAATAATTTGTTACAGAAATGTATAATAAATAAAAGTTAAATAGTGTTAGAATGTCGCCTGTATTTTTGCGTGTCGTATCTCAGGACTAAGTTGTTAGAGCTCAAACGATTGCGACACGAGTAATGTTCTATATGTGCGGTTCGTCGAGTCGACACACATATCATCGACACGTGGAAACGATTAAATGTCATTTTCCTTGCTGCAGCCAAGGACTCGCGAGCATAATCGCGGTCATAAAGATGTAACATATATACGAAGAGCGAAGCCGCGTGTTATCAGTCACGTAATATCGTCTCATCGGAACGTGCGGCTAAGCGCGCATAAATCAAAAGAAACACACGTATTCATCGTGTATTATACGGTAATAAATTCGTTAGAGAGCGACTAGTCTCTAATTAGCGTCTGATTATACGATACATTCCTATTTGATTCCAAGCAAAGTGTTAAATAGAAGATCCCGTGTCTTTCTCTGGCATTCTGAATTCTTCATTAAAATTTCCATAAAAGTGTTCAGCTATCAAATTATGTATCTTAACTCAGGTCACGTGTACTAATAAAGTCATGCATTTTTCAAGTATGCATTAATAAAGTCACTTAACCCGTTACAACTCGATTCTTAAAATAAAATTTTAATTATGTATATAGTAAATTGATTTTAGAGAGATACACTTCTTTATACTTTTTTAGAAAAATATCATTATATATGTGATTATATATATGAAGTGCATGTAAAAAAGAGAGAAATAAGCGAGATGATTTTCATCAAAAAACAAAAGAATTCTATTAATTTGCAACGGAACACAGAAAACTTAAATGATATGTATGATACTATTTTGAATTTATTTTAGATATCGGTATTTATTTTATTAATTTTTAATTTCTCCTTTTTATTTTATTTTCGTTTTTATCTAAGTAGAGTTTATATATTGTATAATTTGTTTTTATCACCTATAAAGTGTTTTATATATTTTTTGCTTATTTATTTTTTTTTTATTCGGTCGACTTGTATTTCTCTTTTTAATTGTGTTATTTATTCGAGATATTGTCTTTGTTCGTTTTAATTTAATGTTATATGTCAGAGTGAGCACTTCGGTTCGTTTATTACTAATATCTTGTCATGTTCTGATCGTTTACAAAAAACGGACATTATGATCATTTAGTTTTTACCACTTACTTGTAACAGGTATTTTTAACACTATTATATGTATGATTTTCCGTATTCGATTTTTACTGTCATTTTCATTTTTTTAACTGAGATTTATAATTTAATTTGTAGCCTGAAGAGGACCCAATTCGGGGTCGAAACGTTGCGTCTTTTTCAATAAAAGATTTTTCACCTTAGCCAGTGTTGGTCAATTAATTCCCTGGTATCTTTATATCATTATATATGTTTTGTCGTTGAGAAATTAATCCGAGACTTAATAAAAAGTAATAATACGCGACTTTCTTCAACGTTATGCAGGATGTCCAGCAGACTCAATAAAAAAAATTCCTGATTTTCCAGAAATTAATTTTTTCCCTGAATTTTTAGTATTATTTTTCAATTAAATGTTAAATCATGAAATCCTTGAGATATTTTTGTCAACAATAAAAATTGATTCGGAAGTTAAAAAACCAAAAATTTAAATCAATTATACAATCTGCATTATGTACGATAATCGAAACAAAAATATCACCATAAACTATGTATTTATTATTACATTTATCTAATAAGAAATGTCAAATTATTGAGACAAATGTAGAATAATGTAAAAAAATCCAGATAAATAGTAAATTTCCCAACTTTTTTCCCTGACAATTCCAGATTTATCAAATTCCCTGATCGCTAGACACCCTGGTTATTGTATGCGCGCAAGCATTCGACAAATATTGAAATAATGAATGAAAATGCAACAATAAATTCCCACAAACCCGGGTCTCGCAAATCGTTCCTATTCGCGATCTCGCGAGCCTTTTCGAGCATCGTACGAGTCTGAGAGCTCGCAAACGTCAACGTCGGCAGGTGCATCGAGAGATCGAGCGACCGTATCTTCCTCTCTCTCTCGCCTCGCGGTAGCGATCACGGAACAGCTTCTCGGTCTCGTCGGCTGCGTTCGACGCGCGATGGCCTCCACCGCTTCCTTGTTCTCCTCCTCTTCTACCGCTTGGCAGGGACACGCGTGTCCGTGCGCGTGTCTCGGGGCCCCAGGGAGATACTCGTCCGGATGCAACGCGGCGAAGGACCGACCGATGACGACGAGATTGAAAGGCCAGGGACGGCTTACGAATATTCGCCGAATCGCTCGCGTCGCTTTCCTTAACCGCATATTCAATGTAAAACAGAGTTTGCTCCTCCTTTTTTAAATGCATTTTTTAGTTGATATAAACTATGAAGTCGCCAGATGATAATTAAAAAATGGTAATAATTCAATCGACCAACTCGGGCAAATAAGTAATTTTTATTAAATTTTCACAACGTTTCGGCCGTGGATTTCGGTCCTTATCAAGTGCTATGTTCTTAAATCAAAGTAAATCACATCTTTTTTAAAAAAACAAAAATTCGATCTTAGAATATGACATCATATAATAACGTGATAGTATGAAACGCGAATAACTATCGATTGAATTATTACCATTTTTGAATTTTTAGTTTTTGCGAAATGCGAGAATGAAACATTCATCTTCCGTGGTATTTGATTTCGAGGAAAAATTTAGTAGTGGCTTGGAGTTATTTTGGTAATGGAGTATATTGAAGTTTCTACTTCAAAAATTTGTATGTATCGAATACGAATAATTATTTCATCAATACGTCGTTGCACGAGGTAACAATATACAGTTTCGATACGTTCCTTATATTTTTTGCATAAAGTTGTTCTTGGTGGAAAGCAAAAATAAGACAATTTTTATTCCGTTAATTCGGAATTTAAAGGAAAATCATTTCATTCAAATCAGTTTCAGCTCGGAAAAAATCAAATCAAATTCTCAAGACACAAATTTGTATCAAAGTTTGCTTTCTGGGACAAATTTTGAAAGTCCATTTTCCAGTTCTTATATATATAATTAAATCTTGAATTTTTCATATACATACATTCAAATTTTTTTATGAAGAGAGAATATATGCCTTTATCGAAAAAATAAGCTATACAGTAATCGAAAACACTCAGTATCGATACTTAGCAAACGAAGCGTACCTATCCACGCCGGCCCTGATTGAGAGGGAGAGCGAGAGCGCGAGCACGACGAGAACTCGACAGAAAATGAAGAGGGTGGAGGAAAAGGGGGAGGTGAAGAGGAGGTGAGGTGAGGTGAGCTGTGCAGAGCATGCGGTGCACCAGACAAAAAACGATGAGCCGCAGTGGGGGCCAGACGGGGGGCAAAAACACGTGACGAGGCCCAAAGCCCAGGCGCTGCGGGCCCCTCGTTTGAACGACTCTCCCTCTCTCTCTATCATTCGATGAGCATCGCATATATATATATATGTCTGTGTGTGCGTATGCAACGTATGCGCTGCGCGGCTTCGCCGAGTGCATCCACGAGTATCGCGTGCATCGCGATACGACGAGCGAGACTGCGCGATTGTTCGAGCTAGGGATGTTTGAAAAGAGAAATCGACAGTCGAATATATTATATACAATATAACCACTCGTAAAAAAATATTTTTTTTTACTCGTTATTTGTTGAAAACTTTCTCTTTCTATCACAGGTTTTTTTTTTTTTTTTTTAATTTAATCCATGCACGGAGAGAATTTTTTCTTCGAATTTATCCTGAAAATCTGGTACAATATGCTGTTGGAAGAATTTTCCAAGAGTTTCTCTCTTATTAAATATTTATCGTAATAAAAAAATATCTATCGCAATAAGATATAAAATACGTTCCATTAATTTTACTATGTTGTAGTTATATGTACATAAATATTATTAAATATTAATCAAAGAAAGTCTTACAAAATCTTCCGATTGTCCCACGATTATAGCATAATTTTCAGGATATAAATTCCAAGAGAAAATTCTCTCTGTGTCCGATAATATATTACAAAGCGACAATATCGTTGCAGAAATGAATAAAAATTGTTGAAAGAGTGCGATCATATTTTTGAAATATAAAATGAATGGCAATAAGTCGTTCTCTCTAATAGTTTACGATCAATTGAATTTCGAGACTCGACTCGATTAGCTCGACGATTAGGCTATCAACAACGTATACGAACAACGTACCGTATGCGTGTCTGTGTATATTCCCTCGAGAACGAGTCGACGTTACAGGGAGCGGCGCGATATTGCGAGGGGCCTCTCGGTCTTATCTTGAGCTTTCTTGCTCTCCGTTATCACGTCGTTCGGATTCGCCGCTCTTTGTGCCGAGTCTTGAGTGCCGCCTATTTGGAGTGCTACGAGACAAAGAGCGCATCGCTCCGCACTCGCTTGGAGAGGAAGACTAGCAGCGGCCTGGACGAGACAAGGTGCGCCTCGCGTACGAGGATAGATTGGAAAATAGAGTCGGATAATAGGCGCGCACACAGACGTTAACGAGCAAGAGGGAGAGACAATACGCTCCGTCGTCTCGTGATCTACGAGCCGGAGACTGCGAGGGCGCGATTCGCCATCTTCGCGATAAACTAAAAACGCGTTCGTTTTTCATCTCGAGGATTGCCAGTCTTTGCAATAGCGCCAATGCTTGGCCCCGATATGTGGTAATTAATTTTTGCCCAATACTTGGTCATTTATTCTGGGCCATGCTTGGTTTTTTTTTTT